CGGGGAAAGGCGGTCGAATGGCAGGTCGAAGAGGGTTTCTGATATCGAACAAATCGACGATGGTGCCCTTGGCCGGAGCCCTTGAGTCCTGAGGATTGCCAGGGAAGAACAGATTGGCAAACACATCCGGGTTGATCCTTTCCGTAGAGGGCGGCGGGGGAAGGACAGCATGAAATAAGGGCTCCTCCTCCTCCTCTTGGCCAAACGCGCCTTCTCCCTGGCCCAACAGATCCTGTTCATCGCGCACTCCTTCCCATTCCGTGGACTCGGTCGTCTGCCCTCGGCGCGTGGTCACCTCAGCGAAAGATACCGATTTATCAGTCATGGCATCATTGGGAGTTTTGGCTCCTTCGTTAGCGTAGATATTCGACTCACTGGGATGATGAAACGCTACGGTTGGGTATGAAGTATAGATTGTGCTTTCACTTACTGAACTTATGTTCTTTGTGGTCATTTCTATATAGCTGGGTGTCAGAGTGTCTCTGATCGTGTTTAAGATCATGGTTGGTTCAGCGGTGGTAATTGCATTGTCCTCAGATGTATCAGTTCCTCTAACTATGCTGTGTATAGTCTTCTCAGTTGAGGTACCCATGGTATCTATAAGGACACCAGTAGTTATAACTACGTTGGCGATGGGGTTATCAGTGCCGTCAGTTGGTAGCTCTGGGTTTTCTGTCGTCTTATCATTGTCATCAATAGTTAAATCATCTATTATGGTGGACATGTGGTCATGCCGAGTTGTTACTTCAGGGACCTCTGCTTCTATCTCGTAGGTACCGATTATATCATAGCCTTCAGCAGTCGTGTCAAAGCCATGGGTCACATCTAACATTTCTGAGTGAACAGTAATCCTTTCTGCAGAGTCAGTCGATACCTGCAAGTCTGTTGACATCATAGTAAAGACCTCTGTAGTTGTTCCAACATTTTCTCTGGTTATCTCGTGTTTCACACTTACACTTGAGTTTTCTTCTGGGGACATATCACGGTCTTTTATAACGACCGTGCTTTCTGCGGATGGACTGGGAACTTCCGTGGTTACACTGGCCTGCTCTGCCACCACGTTGAAATTTTCTGTGACGCTGTTAGTTTGAGGAATCATATTTGCAGTTTCTGTGGTCATGTATGTAGTCGTGCCAGTTGATAGGACGGTGTTGTCATAGGCCGTGTTGTCATATTCATAAGTAACGCCAGTATATTCAGAGTATTCGTCATTTGTGGAGAAAATACCGGCTATATCAGTGAATTCAATGGATATATCTGTGTAGAAATTGGTAGTACTGGGTAAATCAAAAGACATTTTGCTGGTGGAAGGGATGTCTCCAGTGGCTAAGGCTTTGCTGGGTGTGTCAGTATACTCAGTGGATATGCTGGGTGTGCCAGTATACTCAGTGGATATGCTGGGTGTGTCAGTATACTCAGTGGATATGCTGGGTGTGTCAGTATACTCATTGGATATGCTGGGTGTGTCAGTATACTCATTGGATATGCTGGGTGTGTCAGTATACTCAGTGGACATGCTGGGTGTGTTAGTATACCCAGTGGACATGCTGGATTTGTCAGTATACTCAGTGGCTATGTTGGATGTGTCAGTATATTCAATGGCTATGCTGGGTGTGTCAGTATAACCAGTGGACATGCTGGGTGTGTTAATATACTCAGTGAATATGCTAGGAGTGTCAGTATACTCAGTGCCTATGCTGGGTATGTCAGTATATTCAGTGGATATGCTGGGTGTATCAGTATACCTAGTGGCTATGCTGGGTGTGTCAGTATACTCAGTGGCTATTCTGGGTATGTCAGTATATTCAGTGGCTATGCTGAGTGCGTCAGTATACCCAGTGGCTATGCTGGGTGTGTCAGTATACTCAGTGGCTATTCTGGGTATGTCAGTATATTCAGTGGACATGCTGGGTGTGTTAATATACTCAGTGAATATGCTAGGAGTGTCAGTATACTCAGTGCCTATGCTGGGTATGTCAGTATATTCAGTGGATATGCTGGGTGTATCAGTATACCCAGTGGCTATGCTGGGTGTGTCAGTATACTCAGTGGCTATTCTGGGTATGTCAGTATATTCAGTGGCTATGCTGAGTGCGTCAGTATACCCAGTGGCTATGCTGGGTGTGTCAGTATACTCAGTGGCTATTCTGGGTATGTCAGTATATTCAGTGGATATGCTGGGTGCGTCAGTATACCCAATGGATATGCTGGGTGTGTCAGTATACTCAGTGGCAATGCTGGGTGTCTCAGTATACCCAGTGGCTATTCTGGGTATGTCAGTATATTCAGTGGATATGCTGGGTGTGTCAGTATACCCAGTGGACATACTGGGTGTGTCAGAATATTCAGTGACGATGCTGGTTGTATCAGTATATTCTGTGGCTATGCTGGTTGTGTCAGTATATTCTGTGGCTATGCTGGTTGTGTCAGTATATTCAGTGGCTATGCTGGTTGTGTCAGTATATTCTGTGGCTATGCTGGTTGTGTCAGTATATTCTGT